AATTATATATAATATTTGATAATATATTATAATTTTTTTAATAATTATATACAATTAGGTAATATTTTTTTTAATGTTGTTAGCCAATGGTTTTTTCTTCATTTTTCTTTCTATTTCTTTCTTGGCTACCCTGAGCATTATGTAGCAAACTTTTGCAATGATATTTTGTCCATGTCTACCTGACCATCGTACATTCCCACTACCAAATTAATTAGGCAGCAAACTTTTGCAATGATATTTTGTCCATGTTTGCTCGACCGCTCGTTCAGTTCCGTTCATTAACTACTGAATCTTGACCATGCTGGAGTCCACAAGTTAAATGTACGTTAAATCTTCAAATTACTCAACTATAATGCAAATTTTTTTTTTTTCTTAGCACATAGATCCCAATCAATATAATTTTAAAAGTTATTTTAATTATTTACAAGACCAACCACCACTTCTACCCCCTTTTGGTAAAAATTCTCAAAATCTTTATTATTTTTTATACCCACCATCACCACACTCAACCAATAATAATTCTCTGAATCCCCATTTTTTTATGTATCCACCACCAATACCAACTAATCCCAATATATTTTATAGGCCTTCAATATTTTTCGAAAAAGTTGTGGAGTCAGTAGATCGGGAAACAGATTCACCAATTGGTTCAATATTTGAGTCTCAAGTTGGGTTAGAGAACAACACACTTGATGTAGGAGGACAACAAGGAGAAGAAATATGTACTAAAAAAAATCACGTGAAAGCTTTTCCGTCGAAGAGGATAATCTACTTATTCGAAGGATGCAATTGTGGGAGTTGATCAAAATCGAAATAGTTTCTGGATAAGAATCAAAGAGAATTACAATAACAATCGCAATCAATTTCCAGAAAGGAATCCAGGTCAATTAAAAAGTTGTTGGTTTCGAATAAATAAAGTAGTTCAATTATTTGTCGGATGTTATAAACAAACTTGTGATAAAAAAAAGTGACAACTTAGAAAAAGACATAATGGCAAATGCATATAAAATTTACTCACAAGATGTAAGTGATAAATTCAATTTTGAGCATGCATGACTATTATTAAGAGATGAGCCAAAATGGAAATCTGAATCAATGGAGAGCTCTTCAAGTTGGGTTAGAGAACAACACACTTGATGTAGGAGGACAACAAAGAGAAGAAATATGTACTAAAAAAAATCACGTGTAAGCTTTTCTATTGAAGAGGATAATCTACTTATTCGAAGGATCCAATTGTGGGAGTTGATCAAAATCGAAATAGTTTCTAGATAAGAATCAAAGAGAATTACAATAATAATCGCAATCAATTTCTAGAAAGGAATCCAGGTCAATTAAAAATTTGTTAGTTTTGAATAAATAAAGTAGTTCAATTATTTGTCGGATGTTATAAACAAACTCGTGATAAAAAAAGTGACAACTTAGAAAAAGACATAATTGCAAATGCATATAAAATTTACTCACAAGATGTAAGTGATAAATTCAATTTTGAGCATGCATGTCTATTATTAAGAGATGAGCCAAAATGAAAATCTGAATCAATGGAGAGCTCTTCTAAAAGATCAAAGATCTCTAAATCTGGGCAATACTCAATGTTTTCTAACACAGATGCAGCCAGTGATGGTCAAGAATATGACCCAACAACCCCAATGTCTAGTCTAATAGGTCAAAAAGTAACGAAAAGAAATAGTAAAACAATGGTTGACGAAACATCTTCTGACAAAAAGGAGTTGGATAATATGACAAAAACAATGTTAGAAAGAAGTATTGCAGTAAAGAAATTGGTTGAAGCGAAGGAGGCTACTAACTTTAGTACAATGTATGACATTCTCATGAAGGACACATCTGGAATGACTGAGAAGCAACTCAAAGATCATGAATTGGCTTGTAAGTTTATTAAGTACAAATTAGGAGAATAAATATTATTGTAATTTTAATTATCACAAATTAGTGCGTATTTAATTTTTATATTTAATTTTGTTGTACATTTTGGTAATTTTTTATATTATGTAATTTATTTTTATTATTGTAATTTTTTATTATATAATTTCTTTTGTTTGTTATTCATATTTATATATTATCTATAATAATTAATTTTTTTAAAATTTATTATAAAGTATAGTATGAGTTGTCAAAAAATATAGTATGAGTTGTAAAAAAGTAGAATGTTTACAAATAATTTTTATTAAAGTAAAAATTATAAAAATATAATATGAATTACTTATAAGTAACGTGTTACAATAAAATTTATTTAAAGTGATTGGACATTGTAAATGCTCTGATGCAATAGTTCCACTTTAACTTTTTTGCTATTTATACGCAATCATTGCTTTGTGATCTCTAGACCTATCTGCCGGAAACATAATATACATAAACACATGCACTGGTCAGGAATCGTCAGCAATGAAAAAAAAAGAGACGCAGATTGATAATATTGAAGAGAATGATGGCAACTGCAATACGAACCTTGCTATCACCAAGTGCACAGGCGAAACACAAGCAAATTTGGCTTCACTTATTACTCAATACGTTGAGTCTCTAAATCAGCGCAGATTCCGCCACTTGGGTACACTTTCGCTGCTTTCTCTTCTTTCCAATGTATGTTTACTTTTTATTGGTTTCATTTCAGCCAAAAAAACACTTTCTTTGGCGTAACCCCAAATGAGATATATACTCATTTCATCGTTATATTATTATACGAACTACTGCAGGCTACCCCACTAATCAGGATTTAAACTATGACGTATTATTACCGTTGCTTAATTTTCATTTGAACAATGCCGGTGATCCATTTCTAGGGAGTAGTTTCTCCCTAAATTCAACAGCATTTGAAGTTTGCGTGCTTGATTGGTTTGCAAATCTGTGGGAAATAGAGAAGAATGAGTATTGGGGATACGTCACAACTGGTGGAACTGAAGGCAACCTTCACGGGATTTTAGTAGGGTTAGTTACCTAGTTTATTCAACAGTACTTCATTTATATATATGAAAAAAAAATGATCCAAACATGTTAAACAATTCAATTAAAACATATTCAGATCAATATATACAACATAATCTAAAAGTTAAAGAAAGCTAATTAACCTTCTGCCATTGCTATTGGATTATTCATCAATAATTTGGTTTCTTAATTAGTTGTGTTTTGAATATATTTCGAGTGCTTTTAATCCAACAATAGTAAGCCTTTACAACATATGACACGTAGTCCAAATCATTGCACCATAACTTGTTCTCTTAGAGTTTCCTAACACGTGACTATTGTACTCTCTTAGAGTTTTGATTATCATAAAACTCAATAGATGTACAACTTAACTATTTTACAAAATGTATGTATATAACTATTTAAATCAACATAAGTTGGAATCTAGACAAATAATGGACCATATTGAAAAACAACCTCTCATAAAAATTAGGAAGCATTTCAATTAAAATGTTCCCAAAATTGACGTTTGCTCCTATTTTTAAGTAACCAAATCATATCTTGAAACTTATTAGCTAATTATAACTCGGCAACTAAATCAATCTCTACATTTGTCTCTAATTTTTATTTTTTTAAATTTTTTTATCGTGGTGCTCAATTATCCAAATAAATGCCCTTTTGTACGAATTTTTCTAAGATTTACGGGGTATTTGTTTTCCTTTTAATTACATTTTTGTTAATGGGAACAAGAAGACAGCATTTCTTTTCATGTAGAATTTTCGTATAATAAAATTATTTGAATAGAAAAAAGATTAAAAAAATTTAATAAAGTCTCATAAATTTGCAACATTTTTCAATTTTAGCATTATATATTTTGTGACGTAAAACTTGAATGGAGACAGTGGGCTCTAGAGTTAAAAATAGAGATTACTTCAACGTAACATGGATCCTACTCGTGTACATCAGGTTTCCCTTGATTAATCCTGTTTCTTCCTTCGAAAAAGTCTCATTATTAAATTGAAAAAATCGAGAAAACTAAGGTCGTTCTGTTCTGGATTGATAGTGCCACTTCGTATATGTGCGCCTGAGAAAATTTGTTGGCCACGACCCTGCAAGTTAAATGAGTCCATCGTCCCACACGAGTTACTGCTACACTCTGCGCCACTTGTGATATTCGCATTGCTGAAGTCTTGCTTGTCTTCTGGCCCTTTCCCCTTGTGATTGAACGAGTTCTTTGTACCATTCATTTGCCACCTAACATAGTCAATTAATGAAATTAACTAATGTACAAAAAAAATGATAGACTAAAATCACATACTGTAATAATTTGTCAAAATAATATATTTTTCATGTCGACATGACTCAAATTCTACTCCTCGTTGACAGTGACAAACTATATATCTTTCAAATGCTGAATAACCATATATGTGTTACTATTAAAAAAAATGTCATTTTTTACGAGTTTTTCTAAAAAAATATTCGTAGAAAATTTTTACGAATTTTCTTGCAATAATAATTTCACAAATTTTTTTTATGAATATCTTGTAAAAAATAATTTACAGATATTTTTTACAATTTTTTTTATGAAAAATAATCTACAAGAAATTTGTGCAAATTTTGCTACAATTTTTATGATCATAGAAATTTTTTTCCATGATAAAAATTTGCAAAAAATATTGTAAGAATTTTATTTTATTTCTTGCAAAAATAAATTCGCAAGTAATGTTTACTAAATGATAGAAAAAATTTTGCAGGTAATTTTTCCTGCGGATTTTCTTACCTATTTTAATCCGTGGAAAAAATCAAAAAAAAAAATTTAAATTTATAAGTTGAACATTTTAAAAAAACTTTAAGTCTCACATCGATTGAAAACAAAACAATTAAAGAGTATATAAGTTGGGACAACACTTACCTTACAAGTTGATTTGTATGGTTGAGTGTTAGACTTATTATCTACAATCATAGAATTTAAAAGATTATGTATCACATGTTGAAGGTTTGGAAACAAATGCTTCGGATGAATTCATTGTGAGTATTTGAAAGTTGAAGAATTATCGATAAAATTTATAATAATTTCTTTAATTTTTTTCGTAAAAAATATTCCTACAAAATTTCTTACAAAAAAATTCGCAAGAAACTTTTGAATTTTTTTTTCCAGGAAACTTTCTTGCAAATTTTTTCGCAAGAAAATTTCTTGTGAACTTTTTTCACAAGAAATTTTGCAAGAAAATTTCTTGCGAATTTTAAAATTCGCAAAAATATATTATCTATGAAGGTATTACTTACAAATAAAATTTCGCAGAAAAATTTGTAGGTACAACGTTTCCTGCAAATTTTTCATAAAAATTCAAAAAAAAAAGTCGCATGTAATAAGAGAAATTCTAGTAGTGAATTGTGCGTGTGTGTAAGTACCTTCCGATATAGTAACATCCACAACCGAAAATGATCAGAAGCAGCAATATAGTGATGAGCAATTCATATGACTCCTCTGTGATAAGCAATTCATAAGAGTCCTTTGCCATAGTGTGTGTAACGTTGGGGCTTGAAGGCGTGAAGGGGAATTGAAAAATGAAACAAAAACAATGAAGCTAACCCCTTTTTAACATCCATGGTTCCGAGTAGACGTATACAAACGATGTTGCTAGGAAGACCGCAAGTACTTTCCTGGAAATGGAATAAAAAATATAAATGATGATAAAGTTAATTATCTCTTTCCATGGGGACCCACGCGGTGTTTCCATGCAGTTTCAGGGAAAAAAGCAAAAGCCATGCGCAATGAGCACGCACGGCCGGTTGAAGCTAGCAAAGCAATTAGAACACTCCATTTCGTTATCAGTACTGCAATGATTATTCTATTAGACTTCGAGTAAAGTGTTATGAAAATTTGTCATTTTATCCACCCTTAGCAGTCAATATTCTACACTTAGGGTTAGGTAGCATGAATGATTACGTGGTGCATAACTTTTTAACTAATGACTTATCAGTTGTATATGTTATATACTATATACATGTGCGATAACGACAAGTGTGCATATGAAAAGAATATTATTCCATCATCATGGTTCTCACTATATTTTTATTGGAGCACTTGGTAGAAAAGACAAAGGTGGAAAGATAAAGGTTTAAAGGCCAAATGAACAATAATTGTAAAGTATGTTTACCATAGACCATGAGTGTGGAATTGGCTCTTTTGGTTTCATCTCTGCGACTCAATTCAAATAGCTTTGTTTTTCAAGGAAGTTTCGAGTGTATGGGGGGATATGAGACTGAGCAAGTTTCCACTGAAAGATAAGAGCCTAGTTGTTGGATCTGATCCCAAATGAAACCTTTCCTAGTCGATGCACTAGCTAGGATCTTTTAACAATAAGTTAATTTTATGCTAATGCATTCTCAACCCATCAAATTATGGAGAGGCATGCTAGCTGTTTACAGAACTTGTTATCATTGTCATGTAAAAATGAAATTAATAATAAATAAAAAAACCTTGAGTTATTAACATAAAAATGAATATGTAAGAACGATCACTATTAAAAATATGTTATTTTTCTGCATATTTTCCTATAAACAAACATTTGTAGGAAATATTTGCAGATTTTCCTACAAATAAAAATTTGCAGAAATTTTTTGGAGATGTTTTGTAAAATAAAATTCGTAAGAAATTCTTGCAATTCTTTTTGCAAAAATAAATTAACAAATTTTTACAAATTTTGTTACGGCTTTATTTAATATAAAAATTTATTTTTTGCAAAAAATAAATTCCAGAAAAAGTCATAGGAAACTTTTTTCATCATATGCAAACTATTCTAGGAATATAATTCACAGGTAATATTTTAATAACTTGCAGGAAAATCCACACGTAAAGTTACTATTTTGTTGCAAATTTTAATTCGCAAAAAAAATTAAGTTTTTTTAAAAGTTATTAGTTTAAAAAAGTATTTTTCTTAGTAAACTATTATTTACTAAATCATTTATAAATGTCTCATAATAAAATATTTAATTTAAAAAATAAAATACATAAAATTTTATAGATATGTAATAAGTTAATAAGACTAACTTTTAATTTAATAATAAAATTCAAAATAAGATTATCTAATGAAAATTTACATTCAAATTATCTGACTTATTCATTAACATCGTACTCACCATAATCTTTTCATTTCACACATATTACAGGCAATCCTGGTACACGGATTGTATTACTAAAAAAAATAAAAATGATAATATAATTATAAATTTAATACAATATAATCTATAAATTCACTAACATAATTTTTTTTTATGTATGGTGCAGTAAAATAGTAACCGGTTATAGAAATTAAATAATTAATTATATTTTTATTTAATAAATATAAAATAACATATAAATTCAAGAGAATTTAAACATCAATAAATTTAAAAAATAGTTAACTTGAACAGTAATATTAGTATACAACAAAAGTTAAATATCTTAAGCGATTTTAATGATGATTTTCATGAAGGTCATTATAATAGATTTCGTGTTTTCATTTCCCACGTGTTTGCTTTCACGTTTTAAACGTGAAAAATCACGTTTAACGTGAAGTTAAAAGTTGTAACTTTCACGTTAAATGTGATTTTTCACGTTTAAAACGTGAAAACAAATACGTACTTCGTTTTCAATTTAACAGGTGTTACAAAAGTTTTTTGCTTGTGTTTCGCCTGTGCACTTGGTGATAGCAAGGTTCGTATTGCAGTTGCCATCATTCTCTTCAATATTATCAATCTGCGTCTCTTTTTTTTTCATTGCTGACGATTCCTGACAAGGGGTACGCATCTTTCAGGCAAGCCTTGTTTAAGTCAGTGTAGTCGATGCACATACGCCACTTTCCCGAGTTTTTCTTGACAAGAACCATGTTGGCTAGCCATGTGGTGTATCGTACTTCTCGGATGAAGCCCGCATTTTTCAGCTTCTGAGTTTCAGCCATGATGGCCTCTCGTCTTTCTCCTCCAACTTTTCTATTTCTTTGAGCCACTAGCTTGGCTTCTTTGTGGATCGCCAACCTGTGACAGATAAGATTAGAGTCTATACCTGGCATGTCGGCACTTGACCATGCGAAGAGGTGGACATTTTTAGAGATCTCAACCATGAGTTGCTCTTGCAGCTTTGGGCTCAACCGTTGGCTTATCTTTTTGCATTGCCCAAGTAGTTTGCCAATCTGAAAATCGACTAGGTCGTCAATAGGACTGGGGCGGTTGTCATTGGATTCTAACCTTGGATCGAGGTTGATGACTTCAGCCTAAGCTGTGTGAGCTATGGTGGGGGTGTCACCTTGGCGTCACTCCTCAGTTGGGGGTGGCGATGCTTTCAAACTTTCGGTGTAGCACTCCCGAGTTGTTCTTTGATTTGCCTTGATGGAGATTATATGTCTGTTGTTCCCCGGGAACTTCATTGTCAAATGTGGGGTGGATACTATGGCTTCGAGTTGGTTCAACGCCGGTCTGGCTATGATGATGGTGTATGATGTGTTGGCATCGACGAGGAGATATTTGACATTGTTCTTTTTGAGTTGGGGGGTGCTCCGAAGGTTGTCAGCAACTCTATGTAACTACGAGAGTGGACTTGTTCACCTACAATATTGACTAGGGGTTCAGTATGAGATTGGATGAGAGTATGGGGGATGAGTAACCTCAAAAATGTTGGCCAATACAAGACATTGGTCGAGCTCCCTTGGTCAATCAATGTCTTGTGGACCTCCCAATTGGCTACTTCAACTGCGGTGACCATGGGATCATCCTGGTTTGGAAAGATGCTAACATAGTTGTCATCCGTGAAGGTCATTGGCGGCATGTTGCGCGATAGGGTTGAGATGTCAACATGGACATTGTTGATACTCCGTATGTGTCTTTTACGTGCCGAGCTACTCAGGCCGCCTTTGGAAAATCCACCTACAATTGTGTTAATGACTCCTCGTAGAGGAGGTGTTTCCGTGTTTTGACTTACCTCGGGTTGTCCTGCCCCGCCGACATTCTGTCGAGATCCAAAAGGTTGGTCAGCTCAGAACTTGGATCCTTGACCTCATCCTCGTCCTTTACCTTGCCCCTGGTAGCCTCCCCTGTGAGGTTGGGACCTTTGGACATACTGATAGAGGTGACCACCTTGGACAAGTTCTTCAATTCAATCCCTGAGTGTTCGACATTCCTCGGTCGTATGACTGTAGTTCCTGTGGTAACGGTAGTGTTTTTCTGTCAAACTTTGATCCTGCATCTATTTATTATTATTATATTATATATGTACAAAGACTTGAACGCTTCAGGTCTTTGCCGTGAGAAAATATGTGAAGATTCCATCAGAATATTCTACCAGACCGGTTCAAACATTATGCAAGTGCGGGACGAAATAATATATATAAAGCGATAGAATACATAAAGCACTTTTACATATTATATTTTAAATTTATAATAAATAGTTTATATTATATAAATAGATATCTTACTCTGGTGAAGCAGTGTTGAAAATAAAATAAGAGCACCAGCACCCATATATGTTTAGCATCACAAAATAAGATTTGGCAGTCAGAAATTTATCATGAAACACATAAATTCTCTTATTATAACATTTCAACAATAGAAGTGGAACGTAAGTTATTAATTTTAGAGCACGACGTAGACATATCTATAAATTAAATTTAAAAAGAAAATACAGACATAAGTTCACATAATTTGTAGAAATATAAATCCCTGGAATTGGTGCATGAAGGTCAATTATTTGCTTTGTTTCGTTGTAGGAATGCCCATGACATGCTTACCAGTCGCCTTCGCCTTGTCCACAGGGGGTTGGTTATTCTCACCAGTACGGCCACCGATGATGGTCGCCCCAGGCATGTTTTGATCGCCTCCCCCTTGATTGTTGAATGCGTTTTCAATTCCGCCTCCGCCTCCGCCTCCGCCTCCGCGTCCAGGAGCTCTGCATAAAATATTAAAATTTACTTCTTAATTGCTTTCTATTCTTTTCACCCAATACCATAAAACAATACAAACCTACCTCTCCTAAAGACCACTACAACTTCATTTCTGTCACCTCAAACACAACTGTCACATGGTGTGTTCGAATGTCAGTTTCATTAATTCACCTTACTCAATCCAACACTCGCATTCAATTGCTTCTCCTTTTGTTTATTAAAAACTCTAGAATTTTCATTCAACGCTATTATAACAGATTTCTAAATGCATCTATAAACTGATTAATGTACATATATACTCTGGGCTACATTAACATCAACAACAAAACCATTCACTCAATTTTTCAATACGAGATATTAGGAGTTTTTTATTATTATTTAGTTTAAAGTTTCTATGCCTTCCTAAAACATGGTTTCAGTCTCAAACCAAACCTTATACTAATTAAAAGTGCCAATGTTTACGTGGGTTCTACTTCTAGCTATGTAGTTGTAGATGTAGACTTATGTAGAGTTTATTAATTAGATCTATAGTTCTTTGCAAGGCTAAGCTGTTAAAGTGGTTAAAGCTAGACACACCTCTCTAATTCCATTGATCAAGTGAGGACTTAAGCCTCAAACCAATCAAGTAAAACAGATCTGTCAGTTTCAACTTTTGAATATAAAATAAAAGTTTCAAATGCATACCTTGTTTTTCCCATTAGCAACCATATCAAAGCAGCGAAGAGGACAGCCAGCAGAATTGTTTCTGATTCCATATAGCAA